ATGACGACATGATGACAAAACATGACAACTTTGCTTTCTTGATGTTGGCAGCTTGTAGTTTATTGTCCCTTTCCCCCAGGGAGGTTTTTTTATCAATTAATTTATCTCCTAAGTTTAATTAATAGCGTGAAAATATGTGGACTAAATTGTGTCATTTGTGTAGGGCTTTTTATTAAAGTAAGGATATTCAAAAATATGCTGTGATTGCTGACATCTTACGCGACAAAGTAGTGTGTGATGCTCCATTATGTTAAAAAATAGTATAGAGTATAGATAGATGATTTAAATTTTTACTTTTGAGTTTTAACGCCCTTGCCCTTTAGGACACATTCGCAAAAAAGTTATGTATCTCAACATTAACAATAACAACTTTGCACATTCCATTATTTATATTTTATACAGATAAATGCGGAGGTCACTTAATGTCAGGCAAGCCGCTTTCCTAATGTTAAAAAAAAAAAGTAGTCAAACCTGTATCTAAAAAAACACTAAGTATTAACTCGGCAGCGTCATAAAATGTGAAACGGTTTAGATTTTTATGTAAATAAACAAAAAATAACATTTACATATACAATTTGATTGAAAAATGTGTGTTATCGAATTTTGTAGGTTATCATCGGTTACAATGTTACTGTAAAATGTGCGATAGATAACAATAAAGGCATATTGAGATTATTTATTTCAAAATAACTAATACTTTCCCTTTAATTGAAGTTACTTTTATACTCTGTTCTCTGTAAAGACATATCCTATTTAAGTCTACTAATAATGTAACATTAATATACTAAAAATGATGAATTACTCACCGAAATATGCCGTCTTCTAACGACTATAAAGTGAAACGGATAAAGACAGCACCAGTCTCTCAACCGAGGCCGTCCGTAACAAAAAGTCATCAGCAAACAAATAGAAAATATCACAAATTTTATATCGAGCAGTACTCGAGAGTTGGCACGGTTGTGTTTGACAACTTATTAGAAGAGGCTNNAAAAAAACAACGTAATGGGTGTCTGGGCGTGGCGGGGCGGGAGAGGGCGTAGCGCCCTTAGCGCCGCCCCCTGACTCACGACCAACAAAGACTTCGCCGTAACACGAACTGTTGCAACTCTTGTTCACATTCGTAATTATTGCAACATAATCACTGTATTTTAGATACACAACATCTATGTTACAATAAGGATAGAGTATAATATTATAACAGAATAAATTTTTAAAGTTAACTTTTGTGCCAACAACGTAGACATGCTTGTCTTATAATCAAGATTATTAAAGTAAAAAATGTTGTAGAAGATATTGGTCTGCTTTTAATAAAATGGTTTCCAATAGGTACAATCATTTTCCTAATTTAACGCATTGTGACAACGTTCTGAAATTCAATCATTTTGTAAATTATTTTTAAAATTCATTGAAATTTAAATACCTGAACTTGTAATAAATATTGTTAAATAGTTAATTATAACTAATATAAAATTCTTAACCAAGCTAGACTCAATTTTGTAATATTGTTTATCTGTGCTAGTTTCCAACGATACTGTGTCATTATTCATTATTGTTTGTGTAGCGAGAGGCGAGTGGCGACCTCGTGTTTTGTGTCTATAAGTCATTGCAATACGTATCCATGTCCGCGTCGGCGTCGTCAGGTCATGCAGGTGACTCACTGTGCGGAGAGGGAGTGTTGTGATGACGTCACCCGACCTCCTGTCCTCATATTGGCTCCGTGCTTTGTTTGCCAACGAAACTCTGCCCCCGGCCGATTCCAAGAAGTCACCGTTCATGATCCGAAGCCATATTTTATCAATACATTCGCGCTTCGCAATCCGATGTGTCGACGCCATCACGGTTCGATCACATTGACGTTTGGCTTATCTGCTGTAATCTCTTTGATTATTATTTATAGTAGTAGATAATTAGATCCTTGACATGCAATTAGGTGAATGTATGTACATTGTTACCAAACGCATAGAGGAGACAAACTTAATATAAACACCATATTTATGCTTAATTCCAAAATTTAATTTTAGCTTAACTTCTGAAAGAAACTTAATTGTTTTAGATTTAGAACATGGCAAGAAGAGATTTGACGTTTTTCAACGCTTTACACTCGATAAAAATTAAATTAAGTCGTTCCGAAATTAATAAAGAACGAAATGTTGCGGCGACGCTGCATGCAAGACGCGTCGGTGTTCGGGCGGGCGCGGGTGAACGACCGCCAAACCGCGCTAATCCGCCATCTTGGATTCGTCACGGAGAACGCGCGTTATGTCTTTCGCTTTGGACTTGGCAACACCATTCAATAACATGATCATGCCATTTGCTAATAGATTTTACATGTTAAGTCAAGGTGAGACAAGTTTTGAGATTTTAAAAACATTTGGACCGTTTGTTGACAAAATAAAAATCAACGTTTATCAAAGAATAACCTAATTTATGATGTTTTTTTACAGAAGAAGTGTACAGTAGACCAAATCAATTAAGTTATTTGTGTAAATTTCAATAATAGAATATAGTATTTTTAATACTTTATTGTCACAAATATAAAAATGCATTGTTCTTCATAAAATGTATTTTTTTGTCATTCTCTGTCCGTGAACGCACAGAAGACAAAAATAAAAATACTGATTTCATCTGTTCCGCTTTTTCAAAAGTCAAAGTCCTGCTGTAAATTAAGCGTTAGTCATCCAAGCAACAATTGTTTCTCTATTAGAATGTAATTTCGTACAAAATTTTCCTCAACGCTGAGTATCGCATGTAGGTGACATTCCTCTGGCAAAGGAGAAACTTGTCGCGCGGCATGCAGGGCTCGCCCTTAACCGACGCCGAGGTCGGGTACCGTTGTTGCTATGCCTGCGGCTGTAAGGGCTGTCCACTCATCTTGTCTATGATATGATATCAACTAACGTTAATAGTTGACAACGTCCTCGAGCAACCAGTGGGTTTGCGTCAACCCTGTGGGTTTTTGTACGGCTTTAGATAGTTATATTGTATGTTTCTAATTTGCATTTGTCAACTAATTAAAAAAAAATAGTTATTCTTTTTAATCTATGCTTATTCTCTGTAAAGTTAAAAGTGAACTTTTTAGATTTTCTTAGAACTTGCAGAGGAACAGAATGAAGAAGGTCAAGAGGCAAACATAGGAAAGGAATTTCCGCTTTTCTGTCAATGAGTAGCGGAAATTAATAAATAAATTAATTTAACGTGGAAATTATGTTTCATTTACCTATAGGAGTATAAATATTATATTAAAAAAGACAACTTTGATTTGGAAAAGACTGTTCAAAGTTGGGAACCTATTAACTTTTTATTTCGTATTTTAATCAATTTAAGCAAATTATTATTTCTTACTGAGATAATATTGAATGCAACCCTAGAAGACTTGATTCTCACAGTATACTGTATTCATAAAGTCAGGCACGATCTATCCTATTGGAACAGCTCAGAAACGCCGCCATACCACATCATTTACTTAGAATTTAGAACATTTCAAAGATTGTAAGACGCCTTAAAATGAAATTGTCGTTCTAACAATAAAGATATAATAGTTGAATACAATGAAAACATTTTGTAAGTTTACTGAAATAGATCAATGCTACCAAATTACAAATAACTAACAAATAAACAAGATAAAAAAGTCTTGATGCAAGTTTGTTTTAAAATCATGATTGAAAGAAACAACGCCATTTGGAACTTGGCGACCTACCAATAAAATAAATCTGTGAATCAATGTCTATTGCAGTCTTTTATAGCATCATCAAATCATTTAAACGACACGTGTACAGTAAGACAAAGAAGTTGAAAACATAAAGGCTGGCAACTTTGTTCTGGAAGTTTTTAAAACAGGCTTATGTTCGTGGAGTGTTGGCGATTGCGATGATATTGATGGCACGGTATGAATGACCGGCCTTGAGGAATGCCGCTCATTGTAAGCAGATTCGCGGCGGCCAACTTGCTCGGCTAGATATGGCCGTATCTTCGAGTTTCATCGGGCGCGCGGGGGCGGGCGCGGTGCGCGGGGAGGGCGCATGCGAGACGTAGTTAATTGGATGGTACGCGTTTCTATTAGCTTTCAATTTGTTATGTCTTCCTGGTACTTCATAAATATGAAGGCAGTTTTTCGTACTGTATACCTTTCTTATGAACATGTTATTGATCTTACGATTGTTTGTTTTTTAGTCCTGTCATTTTAATTGCAGTGACAACATCTTATGATAGAAATACGTACTCGATTACTGTATTATTAATGAAAATATTGTTTGAACATAGCCGCTTATAAATTTATCTCATCATCAAGAAGTTTTTACTTTTACAATTCGGTTAAAAAATTTCTTATACGATATGGTTTTCGGATGGGCTTAAAGTCAAAACTTTAAATTTAATGAATGTACTAAACCTGTTTGAAATAAAATCAGGGCGCATTAATTAAGACGTGTGCGTTGGCCCTTAAGTAGTTAACGCACTTCCTGATACATGACGCTCACAAATTCAATTTAAAATGCGCCTTTAACGCTTTAATTCAAATAAATTAAGTTTACGCCTCTCCCAGTTAAATGTGTTTTTATTCAATTGATACTTAAATTAGGGTCTAAAATATTTATAAAAACAAGGGATAAAGTTAATTTTAAATGAGTAATACGCTTGATAGTGTATTCCGTTTAGTAAACACAAAAACTATAGTAAAGTCAAATCACCTTTGCAGTTATTGCACATGATTAATACATACCTAGTCTAAGAGCTCAGTGGTCTCCTAATCCAGTAATAATAACGAAGTAACGACCCGTGCCGAGGCTCCTGAGGGAGCCCTCGAGCTTAGTTTATCATAAAAGAGGTTTAGGCTAAGCGCCATCTGCGCTGGGCCGCCTCAAGCCCGGTGAATCTGTAAATGCCTCTTCAAGGCAAACAGTGACAACTCAGTCACAATAAAAAAAAAATAAGAAAACATACCTAGTTATCTAATAGTTTTAAACAGACTTATTTCGAGTACTCTCATAAGATTTTTAATAAATAGGTACAGCTTCGTTTACATACTTAAGTTTTTGACGAGAATTTCTATCAACTTACACTGTTTATTTTACTCATTATTTTGACTAATCAATGACAATTTCATATTTAAGTACCAATACGATAGAAGTTGAAGTCTTAATTTTTCTCCAAAACATATCTACGCTGTAACCTTTCCTGCTATAAAAAGACATCAACGATTTTCATAACCAATTTTTCTGAAAACTCAATAAATTCTTTTGTTTTAAAAAATATCTTTTGAAAAAAGAACAAAGATTACTAAAATTACATTTTGTACAAATGTTTCGAGATACATGTAAAGTACTGCAGACGATCACAATGCAACCAGGATCTAGAGTCAAGACTTTATTCTAGTTCGTATTTCTCAAAACATTATAAAATATACAAAAACTTATCGATTTAGGAAAGTCCAGATAAAAGCGATCCGTATGCTCACGACTGTGTAGTGACGCAAATCTTCGCTTGAATCACCAGTTTGTGAGGATCGATGATTCACCATTTAGCATATCATTCTGCTTCACTGCTTTGTATTACCGCCCTCTATATTTGTCGTAACAAAACACAGAGAAATATTTAAACTCAGTATAAGTGGATGTAATTAATCTTTAATTTGATATTTAACAGGTAGGACATAAACTTGTAAAGAAACCTGATTTTTAAATGATTGTTTACAAGGTATACCTAAAAATCTATCACAATATTTTACTAATAGTAGAACCTCGATAAGTTAAAGTCCAAGGAAAACAAAATATTTTAAGTTATAGAGGTTTTAAGTTATCAAGGGTCTATGTTGTAGAGGTTAAAGACTCGTATGGTAATAATTCTTTATTTACATATATTCGTCTTCGATCTCGTCTACTATTATAATGACATTTCTTTTCTTCCTCTTTCACTGACATGCGCCGTCGATGTTTCTGCATGCCAGATACA